TATCAAAGAAGCGTATACCGTTATCTAGCTGCTCTTTGATTCCGACTGCCTGACAACGAACGGAAGGTAGCGCTGTATGGCATGTAGGAGAATTGTGAGTTCCAGGAATGGAGAGTGCTGACAGGGGGGTCTCGTCCTTTAGCTCTCTCATCCACGAATTTAGGTTCGAGGACGAGTACACAGTGAGAAATGTTTCTTTGCTGTTGAAGACTGCAGTGTATTGGCGCCTAGGATTCTGTGTCAAGGGCTTGAATGTTTGAGATGAGGGCGAGGATGACGGAGTATCGATTCTGTACTTCTGTCCATCGCTCTCGATAGTCAACCGCAAGATTTCGTTCTCCGATCTCTCAGTAGCTTTGATATCGGTCTTAACCGTCTTGAATGCGTCAACGCGGATATTGACATCTTTATGATGGAAACTTTTGGCATTCTCTGCAAGTTTGGGAGAGCTAGGTCCACCTTGGGTGATGTTCGACGCAATGTTGGTAACGTTGTTAACGACGCTGTTTAAAGGCCCATTGAGGGGTCCAAGAGGGAAACCACCACCAAGCTTTGGAGCAGATACGGGAGCACCTGGGGCTTCATAGCGTTCAATTAATTTTAGCTCAAGAGGAGCGGCGGTGAGGTTTCGAATTGTGAGGGGAGGAGCCATTGCAGAGGTTGTTTTGTCGGCGAAAATCAAAAGTGTGAGTGAGAAGGAGAAGTAAGGAACGCTTGGACGAGGGTTGCTTCGAGACTATGTAGTTCTACAGTTACTATGTGTTTAAAGTAGGTGTTTTCCGTAGCAATACTATCTACCTGGAACCAGCTGAGGCGATTTTTGAGGTTGGCGGGGAGCTGAAGTTGGAATTGAGGGGCACCACTGCAGCTTACTGTAGAACTACAGCAGAACTAGATAGGATTGGAGGGACGCGGCGGACGGGGTTTGGACTGGAATGAAAAAGCAATTCTGGTATCAAAACTAACTCGACTTCTGAACTACCTTACTGAGTTGAAACTCCGTTACCTTAACGGAACCGAGTATGGCACTGAGGTGAGCTATACTGTACATAACATTGTATACATCCTAACTGAATACTGAACAACGGGTTCAATACACTATCATCACTCGTTTCTGTGGAAATGGCATCATCTGTGCTTTGGCCGAGTTTCAGTACGAAGACACTGCTTCCATTACGCATGTCCAACAAATTTCTTCCCAAGTTGGGAGGTATTTGCACATATATTGTTTTTGATGCGCGATGCTCACAGCTCCCAGACGAGCCATCCAAGACGAATCTGCGCGAAGGACCATTACACCGTCCGGTGCGTCCAAAAGCTCCTCCCAGCAATCAATCGAGGTCACAGCTGCTTCGATATTTGCCATTGAATATGATGGATCGTGACCGCACAACCCTGACACTGCTCCTAAGCCTTTTACGGTCTTGATGTCGTCGAGGGCTTTGAGAATATCCAGGTCACCTACCCAATGATGTTTATCATTCAACGCTAGCCTGGTCTCCAGGAAGTACGCCTCTTTCCCGCGGATGTTATTGCTCCCAAGTTGCAACGGTACCTCGTAGCCTGTAAAGGAAAGGTGTAATGACGTGTCATCAAAAAGCCCGCTCCCCTTTAAGCCATCGAATCTGGTATGAGTGCTGTAATGCCATTCTCCAATCGCATGCTGCCGCACTTCAGGTTTTTCTGGGGGAGCCAGTAGCGCTATACCTTGCTTTCCCACATTCCCTACCACATGTTCGACTGCATCGTTACTTATATTTTGTTGTGGAAATGGATCACTCAGGAGCTTCTTCGCTACAAACAACGAGTTCTAGCTTGAAATAGACATAACCCTTTCTAGTTTTTCCTCTAACGCGCTAATTGTTCCAGATTCAAAATACAGAATACACAAGAATGCTTGGGTGCTTGTCAATGGTCTCGAAAATATTCTGACCTCTGGGTCACTCCGGTTCTCTTTGGTGTGGATATGCTCTAGATCAGTAGGGCCTTCTAGTCCGCTGAGCACTCCACTAGCAAAATCGTTTTGATATATGGACCTTGTGATGGCACGCATTGAGACGGTTGCTTCTGGTAGGTACTCCTCGTAATATGCGGAAATCCGTCCGAATAAACGTAAAGAAGTTTTGATGCGGTCCTGTTTACGCATGAAGCTCATAATCGTAATGGAAAGCGTCTCCATATCCAACATATCTGTATCCAAGAAGGTGATCAAGCATATTTAATGGGAGGATAGTAGCCTCGTCCATGCTATGCTTCTGATCCAGAGTATAACTGTTGCCATTTCTAACGCGATAAACAGCCGCAAAAGTCGGATTCCCATAAAAGAAGTCATGGAATACCATTTCTTTATCTTCAAAACCATGTCCACCTTCCTCTATCAGGGTCTCGAAGAGCTCTGCTTCATTCATAGGTCTGTTGGGACTATGTGAAAACGTGGGCTGTTGAGTTTGCATGAAAACCCAATCTTAGTTCCACGGGGGCTCAATGCTAGTAACTTCCTCCAGGCAAGCTCGTTTGTTGGGAGTTTCGTCGGGATGGATTTCGTCAGCATCGCTGCTTCTCTTTCTCTTGATGCCCTTGAAGAACTCATATCATCCGTCCGTGACTGTGTCGGTGGTTGAGTTGGCGCTCGTATAACCCCCACCCCCTTCGTTCGGACGGTAACGAATAACAGCTATATCAGAGTCCCCTCGTATCGGTGATAGAGAGATCGCAGTATTTCTACCCTGGACTTAGGTGTTTTGACCGCTGGCAAAACTTTACTAATATCGGAGAGGCCCAATACATCAGTTATGGATCTCCCCTCATCATTTCCCAACCATCCATAAGCATGACGAACCCCGTAATTCACTAATTTCATTGCTTCAGCTAGTTCATGAGCATCATCCGAAAGAAGAAAGTTCAACCCTTGTCGAAACCCATGGAGTAACCTTAGAACATCGATTTTCGCCCTAGATAGACAGTTATGCGGTTCATGATATGTATCCTCTGCAGCCAATATGACAGTATCAAGGCGGCCGTCCAGGTCTTTGATGGTACACATGTTCTTAGCTTTTATACCTTTTGCCTCCAATAGAAGCTCACTGTAAAGTACGGTATAAATTCTCCTGATAATCTTGGCATACAAGATAAGATCAGTCACGCAAGCCGGTTTCATAAAACTTCCAAAAGCGACTAGTTGTAGTTGAGTAATTGAGAGTCGTGTGGAGTCGAATGTACTCGTTCTCATCCCGGCGTAGAGACCATAGTATCTGATGCTTGAAAGTGATAGCGAGCAGTACGCCCAAGGCAATTCATTAGAATCTCCTCTTGGATTTGGGTCATGCCCAGCGATTGCGATTGTGATAACACCCCCCGAATTGACAAGCGAATCCGCTTGAACAATATCGGTGGTCTTCATGCCTAATACCACAAGATCGGGATAGATGTGCCAGGAAAGAAAAGCCAGGAGAACACCTCCTGTCTGAATTCTTTGCGGTTGACCCTTCACAAGCTTCTCCATTGTTGAAAGGGCTAAGATGAAGTTTGAGATGATGTTACGATATAGGTCGTCTTTGAACTGCTCTTTAGATGTCGATGGAATCTCATGCTCCGCAATCTGTTTTACCAAGCAGATAAATTGTCAACGACCAGTTTTGCCTGAATTTGCTGTTTTCTTTTTGCTCGATCAGCAATCTCAAGCCATGCTCTTGCGCTCGCATCTCACTCAGCAAGGACCGCTATATCGATAATCTGTGAAGCGGCCGCGTATGCCATAGAATTATTTATCATCCCTTCATCTTCAGCGGACTGTATGATTGTCTTCTGACGATACTGAACAAGCTCAAGCATATAGCAGTTGCTTTTTGAGGAGACCAAACCCTGGCTAGTAAACATGCTAGAAGATGCATCCGAAGAGCAGACATCCCGCTAGTCGCTGTAACCCCTATCGTAGTACTGTCGACGCCTATCTGAGTCGCGAAAAGGCCCTCTACAATGCTTTTTGACTTCCCTTGGGCAACCGATGCGTTCTGCGCTATTTCGCTCGCCCGGGTACCGTAAGCCTTGAGCAGAACCGGCACTTCGGGAAGAACATCATCAATTAAAGCTCCTAGCCTTCGAGCCAGAATATGGAAATATCCGTTCTCTGCTGAGGCGCGACGTTGGCTGGAGAGGAGGTTTTCCAATGGTTGAAGCTCTACGGGATAATTCATTTTGATCAACGAGAAGTCAAAGTTCATGTGGTTTAAAGAGAAGTTTGACTCTGCTACGGCGTGAATTGCGGCCGGTGTCGTTTTCTGAAGGAAGAATCCGGACATGATGTAGAGAAGCCCTGCGTCACTATATTAACGATAGGACTAGGAGATTTCGAAGTCATAGAATTACCTCAAGTTGTTACCATATAAACAGCTTCCCTGAACCTCTTCAAATATATTTTTCTTCTATGCTACCTTTGAAGTCAAGTATCGCGGTTAAAGGAAAATTGGCTACGGAGCCTCTGCTTGATCCATCGGCGCAGCAGCACAGATCTCCAACCTGACAAACCCCTGAGCGATACTCCTGCTTCGAGGAGCAACGAATCAGCTCTAGAAATCCCTCTTTGAACAGAGGAAGCTGCATGATCTAGCCGTAGGTGTGTTGGGGGCTGAGCATCATCCACACTGCATTGTGATTATTATCGAGAACAATTTCCTTCTTGTAAAAAGACATTCTGAAAGCGGGTAATCAGTAGGAACCTTTAGGACTAGGAGCCCGTATTCAATGTTAGACCTATTGTAAGGGAATGTTTGCGTAATCAGACAGAGGGAGTTTTGATGAATGCCCTGTAGAAGTGTAGAATTTATTACAAATCAGTAAAATCCTACCTGGTGGTGCTAAGGTGAGGTCTTCCTTATTATATAATCGCCCTGATAACCGGGATCCTACTCGAAGTAGAGCAGTTTAGGATTGCTTTGATATCCGGTTTCAGCCAAAATAAATTTTAAATATATTATTTACCCCGCTCAAAGAATTATCGTCTTGGGGGTGTGGCGCAATGGTAGCGTATGTTTAATTCATTCTTTCTTGCAACAGGTCGTAACTAACTAAGGTGATAGGCGTCAGATTCCAGTAATATGGGATTTCCTGAAGGCTATGTGTTCAAATCACATCATCCTCAATTAATTTTGTTTCTTGGGTCTTTTTTTGGCTCTCAAGAATGTAGAGTATAGAATGTAGAACATAGATTGAATTAGGCTGAATGCCCGCTGGAGATTGGTGATATTTCTTTTTAGTCTTACCGACAATTGTCTACACTTGAGGGAACTTTGGATGCTACCTATAGAAAGATAACTTAATATTCATACAACAGCAAGCGTTCTACTCGAAGTAAATCAAAGGATATGTCAACCTATACCCTTGGGTGTTCACTAAGGCCCACCCAACGCCAGCTATACTCTACACCCATAATGCAATGTCTTGCATGTCCGCACGGGCGCTTCTTCAATTACCATTATACCTACTTTGTCCCTTCATTATCACTTGATCGTGCTCTTATAGACGTCTCCATTGTCCTCCCCATTATGTAGGCCCCTTAACGTCCGCCTCAAACTTTCCAGCTTCGCTTTTTCCACAACAACCATGCGCTTCGCGAACTCCCTAACCGCTTTACGGCCCATCTCTATTCTCCTATCTTGCCAACTAGCAAGCTCACCTGCAACAACTTGTTGCGTATATCTGAGTTCTTTACCCAAGTTATCCAATTCGGTGGCAGCTTTGTGGACCTTTTCAGCTGCCTCACGCTGCATTCTGTGTCGCGTCTCGTCCATGAGTCCTAAAGGCCATCTATCATTGCGCCGCACAGAAAGCATTTGGCGATCGATTGCTTTTTGCGAGGAAGACATGGAGCCGATTAGAGCGGACGGGCGGTTTAGTGCCGCTAGGAGTGCTGAACTACAGGTACTAATTGCATGTATATTATAGTAGAAGTCCACAATCGGGGACGATTCGCTTGGCATGATAATCTTAGCATGGCGATCTAGGGCTGTGATGTAAGTTCTTGGTATGAAATTGAGAGTAGACAGCGCATTGCATGCCATGAGCGCGGCGTCACCCAGATCACTGGCTGCAACACGGACTTTATTCGTCCGACGTAGGATTCCCTTTGTAGCTTGATGTACTCCTCGCATAGACTCCTTAGCATGTGCGACAAACAACTCAACGTCTCGTACATCTGATACTGGCGTATATTCGTCTTTTACGCGGTCGGCACGGGCCTCTGCTTTCATCTTGCTCCGTTCAGCAAGCATGGTGGGATCTATATCTGGAACAAGAAAGAATTCCCAGACCATCTCATGGGTTGCAAAGGTTGGATGAGACAGGAGAATTTTAAGAAAGCTATCAAGACGAAGCTGCATGTCGCGAAGCACAGATCGTGAAGGTTTGGATGGGATCAAGAATGGAGAAAGGAAATCTGCTACAGGAGGTAGCCATGACGCTGGATGTTCCAGGGCAAGCCACCGTGCAAGATTCTCAAAGTCCGTAAACGAACGCCGACAAGTCGTAACCGTAATTGTGGAGTTTGTATTTGGGGCACCGGATTTGATCACAAGCCTAACTGACCCGTCTTCCACAAAGAAAGATCGTACGACAGTGGTTGTCCGCCCGTCAGGGCCAGATGAGGAGGATAAAAGTACTAGATCATCTATCCGATTGCGAACCTCATCGTCTTTGGCCAGTTCAACGGCGGTTAAACCTCTAAGGTCCCTTGCCAAAAGATCAACCCGGGCATCTCCAAACAGGACACGGACGATATCTGTTCTTCCGTATTTGCTTGCAACCATGAGAGGCGTAAACTGACGGTCATTTGCCGCGTTGGGGTCTGAGTCACAGTGGTATAAGAGCCTTAATGCAATCTGAGGGTCGTTGACCGCATGTAATAAGGTATTTCGCTTGCCGTCAACGTGATCGTCTAAGTGGAGAGCGCTATCATCGCCTTGCGTATCGAGGGCAGCGGATAGTGCGCTTTCAACCATTGCCTTATATTCATCATGGTCGTAGGATCGGATGAGCGCGAAAAGGGGTGTTTGTCCGTTTTTGTCTCGCAATCGCCAGGGAAGCAGGTGACCAATCTTCCCTATAAGATGAGGTTGATTAAAGAGGTAATGAGCAACGCACCGTCCCCGAGAATCCCGTATCGCAAAGTAATTTCGAAGGGCGTCTGGAGAATCCAGATGATCGATAATGTAGTCTAACAAAATCTCTACTACCTTTCGATGCCCAAGTTGAACCGCTGTACTAAACAGTGTTGAACCTTCATTATTACAGTCATCGGGAACAAAGTTTGGAGAGAAATATTGGTCTAGACTTAATAGAAAGGAAAGAGCATTATCCTGGCCACTTTCAACGGCCATCATCAGGAGAGACTCGCCATTCAAGCCTTGGGTTTGGGTCAAGGTCTCTACAGAGGTGTCTGTCTCCATGCCGCTAACGTTAGATTCAATCGTATTCGTCCGAGATCTGAAGGATATCATAGATGAGCTTGATATACTCCCTGTGTCCATTGACACTCTCTTTTTCACCTTCGGCCGTGACAGTGAGACAGGAGGCGTCGGACATCGTTGGAATGGAAAGACATGTGCTAGGGGGCTAGGTCGGTGCTCATATCCATTACCGAACGCTCCATTCAAGGTGGTATCATCAGATCGGAAGCTGTGAGGATCAGTCGTAAAGGACATGATATCCTCGGTTTCGTTGAGCTCGAAATGGTCAACGTCCGCATCCTCGCTAAAGTTTGGATAATCTAGATCAAGCATACTACGTATTCCAGGTACATCGCCCTTCCGTACAGCTTGCCACAGACGCTTGTTTCTTCGACTCGATCTCCTTAGTCGTCCTGAGTCCCGTGACAAATAAGAGAGGACTGCTTCGAAAGTACTCAACGCATAGCCCATTTCTCCGCTTTCAACATCATCAATGAAGATGAAATGCCGCATGTATGAAAGTCGGGCTTGCAGATACTTCACCGGACTTCGTATAACAACAACCAGCAGTAAGGACACGAGGGTATCCGCGTTGATTGTCAACATTGGTTCTTGCTTCTCTGAGGTCGAAGGGGTATTTCCATTGACTGATCGGTTGGTGCTCGCGTCAACAACTGGCTCAGCTGCAGTTATAAGCTTCTGAGTTTCAAGTAAAATCTCTACCATCTCTTGTGGGCTTCCTGCAACGGCCATCTTTTTAAAGACATCAACACCCCTGGAAAGTCTTATGGCTAACTCCTTTTTCCCTCTTTGGCCATTCCCGATCGTGATGCCGACCTGTGAGATGTCAATATCAGACATCTGCCTTATGCGTGCCTCTAAATCTAAATCATCAAATCTTCTAATGGAGCAGATTCGTGGAAATAGAAGTGTTGAGTGAACCTGTTCAACTATATACCGTTCAATCATACGTTCTACTATTGGCCCGGTAAGATCAGTAGTCGCACCTAGCAGGGACAATTGCTGCTTATCTACCATTTGGAATAAGTCAATAGCGGCAGTAACAGCTGTTTCAAGCGATTTTCGCATCATATCCTCCTCGTCATCGATAATGAGCGAGGTTGGATGATGCGATGATGTCCCTGATATGCTACTGTGTACAGAGAATGGAAGACTGTGCGCCGATGAGATTGAATTGTGTCGGGCGAGCTTGGGCGTGCTGGAACGCTCTTGGGAGAACGGGATAGACTTCTCAAGCTCTTTGTTAAATTCCTTAAACAGTCGGTCAAGGCCAGGGTGCATCTGTCTTGCGATCATAGGAAAATGGTTCAGGAGGTCACTAAATGACCTCACCTCTTTCTTCCGCGGAGAGTATGAGGCAGATGGTCCCGGGTTACGCGGCTCAGACTTAAGTCCACTTCTTTCCAAGGTTCTGTCCGTCGTTATCGAAGCCGGAGTAATTATTACCGGGTCGTAAGTGCCGATGAGTGGCCGTGAAATGTAGTATACTAGCCATTGCTGGGCATCGATGGTATCTGGATAGTAGATAACATCGTGTAGCAGCTGAGCTTGATTCAAGGATTTGAACCCTATCACGTAGATTAGATGATAATCAAGAATGTAAAGGAATTCTCCATACCCTTGTTGCTATACACGAAGGCATCTTTGACAATGACGGTTCGCCCGTTCAGTGTGGAATATTGTTTTGCCTTCCCTCTATTATCCCGAAAGTTCGATCCATCTTTGTTATGGCTCTGCGGCGCAAGTCCTCCGGGTGCACGCAGAACATGACTTGCCAGGAACTCTTCAGAGGTCGAAAGGTCGTAATAGGATGTGTTAGTTTCACGGTCTCGAGAGGCTAAGAGGACGTCTGTAGTGGGGACGAGGATGATCTGGATATTACGTTAACAGGTCACCAGGAAAGCAATAAGCTTCAGGATGCATACGTGATGAGCTGCGGGCGAGCACTGGGACGGAAGTGTGCTTCTGAAGAAGGCCCGCAAGAATGGATTTAGAGGGTGCATTCATACGACATCGACGGTTCGCGCCTTTTGGAACTATTCCTCTGCCGCATCGATGCTCGCCAAAAGGAACGGTCAAACTGGACGGGAAGCACTGATACCCAGAAGCGTTTGCTCCCTATTAATGATTTTGCCCCTTAGTGTAAGTCCGAAGTGAGCTGCAACAGCTATGATAAGGGTATAGACATGTATTCGGGCCCTGACTAGATACGTACAACGTGCATCGAGTGAGAGGTTTGGTTCAGGTGCACATAGAGCTCAGACAATATACAAAGAACGCAAAGGTATTCAAGATGAACCGGTGACGATGTCTCAATCTTTCGCCTACTGATGAGTACTCGGGAAGCTTATGATGCGGTGAATGCCGCCCGTGCTGCGAGATCGTCTTGGCATCAATGACATTCATGCACCGGTTCTCTACGGTATAATAGTGAACATCAACTATATTCTGATATAGTGGGCACGCCAAATCCTCGTGTCATAGAAATAAACAGTACGGGGTACGTGTACTGTACACAGTGTCAATACTGCTACTCTCCCCTATCATAGTGTGTCATTGACAGTCAGCCCCTTAAAGGAAACGACGGTATTCATACCAGTTAGATATTTACATATGTCTGAAAATGGACACTACATGTTATCATCCACCGCATATTGTTGCGTAGCCTTACATTTTC